AAAACACAAAGATGTCAGACTCAACAAAATACGGATTTTAAACGCATTAACTTTATTGTACAGTTTGAACTTAAATTGTTTTTTATGCATTTTTTGGCTTTAATAGCGTGTGTTTCCCCTACGAGCCCTTACAACTGCAGTTATTCGTCTTCTCATACTTCTGATAACGCTATCGATCAGTTGTTGGGCAGTCTCTCCCATTCCTCAATCAAATCAATTGTGACTTCTTCTCTGTTTTGAATAGCAGGAACCCGTGCCCTAAGTTTTCTGCCTAGCATGTCCCACATATCCTATATCGGGTTTAGGTCTGGGGAACAAGCTGACCAATTCATCGTTGTTATACCCACTTGTAATAAGAAATATCTTACACAGTCTGCGACGTGTGGGCTCGCATTATCCTGCATTAAAATAAAATTTTCTCCAATATATGGTGAAAAAGGTACCACATGGTCTTGGAGAATATCTCTGATATACTTATCTGTTATTAATGCTCCATCATCAATCATCACTAACTCTGTTATTGCTCCCAAACATATACCGCCCCACACCATAATTGAACTTCCACCAAAAGGTACGGTCGTAGTAAAATTGAAAGGGGCATTTCGTTCTCCTTGGCGTTGATACAATCTTTCTCTACCGTCGATGTAATTTACACAGAAACGGCTCTCGTCCGTAAAGAGAATTTGACTCCAGTGGTTATCATTCCAATTTTGATGTACTCGACCAAATTGTAGTCGTGCTAAACGATGGTGTCTCTGGAGTCTGGGAGCTTTTATTGGCACATATGACTTGAGACCGGCTTCTTTAAGTCTCTTTCTTACTGTGCGCTCAATTAAATACAAGTTTGTACTTGTTATGAACAGACAGAATGTAAAATGTAAAATACAATACAAATAAACAAATTAATTTGACGTTTTGACATTTAAGACTTTCTTGTGACAAGGAGCTTTCAAAGCTATGTAGATATAGTCTATAAAATACAAATATAAAGAAATATTGCATTAATAACAGGTTTCTTTAAATTTGCCGGTGTGTGTATTAAATTGTTAACTTCTCATAGCCTACTTTGGACTTGTTTTTAAACTAAGCAGCAAATGAGGATTTATTGATGAAAAACATGGCTAGTTGTTAACGTACCTAACTTTTTTATTATCAAACATAAGCAAATGAATCAAAAAAGAAAATGTTAAGAAAGCCTGAGGCTATAATTAAGTTTTAATTTCAATATTTTATATATGCTAGAATATTCCACAGGGTGTTCCGAACTTTAAGGAAAAAACACAGTAGGATTGTTACACCCGGTATAAAATGCCATTGACCTGTCTAGCAACAATATTATTACATCGATATTCTTAAATAATATACATATAACATACTAAAAAAAATCACTAAAATCGGACAACAGGTTTAGGAAATTCGAGACATCTAACATGTCCCAATTTTAAGGTGTTCCGTTAATTTTGCTGGTGAGTGTATTATTGTCAAAAAGTCCTTATTTTCTTTATTTTCTTCTTCTTCTTTTGATGTAGACATGGCTCTGTTTTTCAATGTGCCTCCATCATTTTCGTGGTATTTCTACTGATAGTCTTCCTATTGAGGAACCGTCTCTTACCGTCTCTACTACTCTATTTGTTTTCATTCGGCTTATATGATCGTTCCATTCTACTCTCTATTTTTCCCCAGTTCTTCATGTTCCACACCTTGCATCTACGCCGTATATCTGTACTTCTAGCTCTGTCCCATCGTGTCTCGCCATCAATTTTCCAAGTGTTTTCATCTCTGCTGTTTCTAACATCCTTTTTGTCCTCTATGTGTCAGGTCGTGTTTCTGCCGCGTATGTCATTATTGGTTTAATGACTCTTTTGTAAATTCTGCCTTTCATTTCTTTCCTAATATTTTTATTTCTCCAGATTGTTTCATTCAGGCAGCCTGCGGCTCTGCTCTCTTGATCTTCCACTTCGGTTTCGAGCTTTCCGTAGCGAGATAATGTGATGCCTAGATATAACATCACTTGTTCTATTATTTGATCTAGCTCTAATTTACATTTTAGTAAATTTGCTGTATCCAGAGTATAGAGTATCCAAGAAATAAAACAAAAAAATAAAAACACTACATATATTGAAAAAAAAAATGGAAGAATATAAAGAATACAATAGAGACTGTGGAACGGAAAACATTAACATTTACAAAAACTGCCAAACAAGAATGGATGATACAAGAAATTCTCGAAAAGATGGACGAAAGAAGAATACATAAAAACAAAGATAAAATTAAATATCAAGAAATTAATAAACAAATAAAACAGAAAATAAAACAACCTAAGGCAACATGGATGCCCATTAAATGTCAAGAAATTGAGGAATGTGAGGCAAGGTATGACACTTTCAATACCCATAAGAAGGTTAAAGAAATGATTTCAGGAAATCGTAACAAACTAATCGGGATATTAACAAATGCAGATGGTACCACTATAACTGAAACGCAAGACAAATTACGTTGATGGAAAGAATACATTAAACACCTATTTTATGACCAAAAAGTAGAACAATTAGAAGTTGACGGAGAAACCACGGGACCAGAAAGAATGAAAGAGGAAGTTATTTATTCCATAAAACACACAAAAGGTTCAGGACCCAATAATGTACCAATTGAACTATTGAAGATAATTGATGAAGATAATATTGATGTCTTGTTAGACCTTTTTAACTCCATATACAAGACGGGACACATACCCAAAGAATGGATTCTCTCAACTTTTGTAACGATTTCAAAAATCACAAATGCTAAAGATTGCAATGACTATCGGACAATTGCATTAATGAGCTACACATTGAAAACCTTCCTTAAAATCATACATAACAGAATCCATATGAAATTAGAACAAGAAATAACTGATTCACAGATGGGTTCTAGAAAGGGTCTAGGAACTAGAAAAGCATTATTTGGAGTCAATGTTCTGACACAACGATGTCTGGATATGAATCAGGACATATATGCTTGTTTCATAGATTTTAAAAAAGCTTTTGACAGAGTTCAACATGAAAAGCTTTTAAGTATTTTTAAGACCAAAAACATAGATAGTAGAGATCTACAAATTATATCGAATCTGTATCAAAATCCGAAAGCAAGAATAAGAGTCGAAGGAGAACTGACAGAGGAAGTAAATATACTTAGAGGAGTTCGACAAGGGTGCATACTTTCACCACTCTTATTCAACGTCTACAGTGAAGTGATATTTCAAGAAGATTTATTGGATATTGTAGAAGGTATTTTGGTCAACGGAAATAGCATTAATAATATTAGATATGCGGACGATACGGTGATATTTGCAAGTGACAAGGAAGATCTACAGTACATAATATAACATGTATACAATGCATGTGAAAGGTACTGACTGCAAATGAATCTCAAGAAAACGAAATCAATGATATTCTCAAAAAAAAAAACACAAAATGTAGATAACCTGATCATCAATAATACAAAGATCGAAAGAGTAACAACATGTAAATATTTAGGAACGTGGAAGGGAAGATACATGGGAAGAGAAATCCAGGACGACGCAAAATACCCTGGCTAAGAAATTTTAGCGAGTGGTTCGGTTGCAGCTCATTAGAATTATTTAGAAGCGCGGCCAATAAAATTAAAATAGCGATGATGATTTCCAACCTCCGATAGGAGAAGGAACTTGAAGAAGAAGAAGAAATTTGCTGTTGTAAAAATGCATTTTGTCTTTTTGATGAAATTAACATGTTAAATTTACTGGCGGTTATACTAAATTGGTGCAGCATACGTTGTAAATCGTTTTCACTTTGAAACAGTAGTATTGTATCGTCTGCATAGCAGATTATTTTAAGTTGTTTTCCTCCCATTTGGCATCCTTATTTAGTTCTTACTTTTTTTATTATTTGATCCATAATCAGGTTGAACAATAGAGGACTCAGGGAAGTTCTTATTTTGAATTAACAAATCAAGTCACATCAACATCAACTACTCTCTCTTTTGTGCCCGTCCTCTTAGGATACACCAATTCATCGTTCTCAAATCACTCTCCACATCATCCAACCACATGGTTCTAGGTCTTCTTATCTTTCGTTTGGATGTTAAACTTTCTTAAACTAATCTCTGGGCTTCGACAAAATTTTAAAGTTAAAATTAACCAAATAGATGCAGTCGTTCTCGAATTGTTAAGCCAGGTTTATAAACGGACATAGTACATAATCATAAGTCATAAACATAACTTTAACCACAATCATAATTCACAAGATTTAAGATCGGTTTATAACTAGACATAATACCTAACCATAATATTTAAAAACTACTTCAGAAAATACAAACCTAACCAAATTTTTATAAATCTTGAAGAATTTTTTCTGGTCTTTAGATTAATAGAAAAGTGAAATAATTTTAAATAAATATGAAGATTAATAGAAAAGTTGCTTTGGCCATGGCAGCAGTCCCACTTTATTTAACAATTGTAGCGACTATATCTGCCAGAGTTCTTAACAAGCAAAGAAGAGTAAGAAGGTATAGTGTAAGACCCATAAATAGAAAGCGTGATAAGGAATGGGATGAGGAACAGTTCTTTAATTTTTTACGTTGGATTACACATGCGCATATTCCAACAATTCCATAATGTTTAATACTTAATTCATAAATGTTGAAAGTTACCAACTTTAGAGGTCACGTTTTAAGGACTTTTATGTTTTATGTATTATGAATGCTTTTAAATGGGTACATTTATTTATTAACTTTCAACATTATGCTTATGTAATAAGATTATGGTTAAAGACTAAAATTATGTTTATGTCCGTTTATAAATCCGGCTTTAATAAAAAAAAAATGACGTTTGTTAAATTATATAGATTAAATTACTTAACTGGAGAGGTATATTTACAAATTTGCGTTAGAATCGATTTAGTGGTTTCGGATATTAGCGTAAACAAACAAAACAAAAATTTAAAATATGATTTCCCACTTACATTACTTGTTTGTTGTTCCAGAGATATTTCAAATACTTTGGGATTCGTACCACTCCTCAGGCAAGCAGACAATGAAATTCCAACGTATTCGTCATGTGCTGGCGATTATTCATCTGATGATAAAAAACGAAAAACAGAAGATCTTGTTCGAGTAAATATTATTGGCATGACTTGCATGTCATGCGTACGGAGTATAGAAGACACCGTTGGTAAACAACCAGGAATAATAGATATAAAAGTAAGTGTATATACGACTATATAATATGAGGCCATTATTTGCAAAACTTGCTCTTTGCTCGAAAGTCATTTTTTGGGAAATCGAAACAAACGATTAACGACGAGTAGTGTTTAGCTCAAAACGTAATAGTATATTACATAACGAGAGTTTTAAGAAGCTTATTACATGCGAGTAAAAAAGTTGCACGCGAGCCGCGTAGCGGCGAGCGCAGTAATTTTACAAGCATGTAATAAGCTTACAACTCAAGTTTTGTACTATACTTTTTCTACCATTATTTTCGTTTATAAAAATAAAAATTAAATTACCACTATATTTACACTGACAGATTAATAATTTTTAATCTGTCAAAATAACGTCTGTTTATTCGTTTCCATGGTAACTCGACCAACTGACTTACGAGGCTTATGTGATATTACACATTTTTATAAAACTGAAGCGTAATTTTTTTTATTATGTGCTAGTCATTACGTGCCAGTATCTGTTATGATGCATTTACTTAGCATCCAAATAGTAGGTAATATACAATTTACTAGTAAGAGAGTAGAAAAAGAATTTTATTAATGTTGCTTAGAGTTTTTAGCAGTAAAAATTAAAAGTTTCTAGCCTAAAATATTTACAGATTTTTAGAAAAAATAGTACATTGTTTACCGGGTAGGAAAAGCTTAACATTCCTGGACGACTGTGAAGATTGCTAAGTCGAGGCGCAAGCCGAGACTTAGCAACACGGAGTCCAGGAATGTGGCTTTTCCTACGAGTAAACATACTATTTTTCCGCAAATCATTTAAAATTCGACAGATATTGATTGATTAAAAAAAAAACGCGATAATTTTATTCCCAAATAAATGGTGCTTTGAAATTCCTAATAAAATTACTTGGGTTACTATGGCAACGTATTGAGGTTGAATTGTCAAACTTGACGCGTATGTATGTAGAACACTAACAACTGTACGGAAATATCATTTCCTTACAGTAAGGAAATGACATTTCCTTACAGTAAGGAAGTCCTCACTTTTTCTTCAAGAAATTTTGACAGGAATGTCAAAATTTCCTGGCGATTTGCGGAAAAAAATGTTATTGCAAAAAAACAGTTTTGCAAATAAATAAATAAAATAATAACAAACCGTATTTAGTTCAATAAAAAAACATAAGGGATTTATTTATGAAAATAAAACTTTAAGATTTTTAGTCATATAAAGAAAATGTTTAAACGAAAAAAAAAAAAAATCAAAAGCAATCTCAATCAGTCTCGGTGACGAAAAAAACAATCATTTTCTGCATTTTGGCAATTTTCCAAACCATCAACGGTTTCTTCTGGTGAGGTAGAATCTGTCTTCAAGTGTTCTTTGTAAAAATTTAGCTTAGGAAGGCTTCTCCAATTTTCTCCATAGTGTTTGGAAAGGAGACCATTAATAGCCCCTTTAATAACCCCCTTTAATTCCTTTCCCAGTGGTAATTTCTTAGGAGCCATTGAAGAAAGAGAAAACTTTTTCTTACAAACGCTTTTAGCTTTTTCAACGTCATTTTAGTAATTTTGTTCACCTTTTGTAAAAAATAAATCGCTTTTGTAAAAACATAAAAGGAGCTGAAGGTCCAGAAATAACGGAAGAGGAAGTAATGTATGCACTAAAAAGAATGAAAAATGGTAAAGCCCCAGGTCCAGATGAAATACCAACGGAAATCCTTAAACTAATAGAAAAAGACTCGATTCACATTTTAGTTGAACTTTTCAATAGCATTTATACATCAGGGAAAATACCACAAGAATGGCTTTTATCCACTTTTGTTATTATACCAAAAAAGATAAATGCCAAACAATGTAGTGATTACCGTACAATCAATCTGATGAGCCATGTACTGAAAGTATTCCTGAAAATTATACACTCTAGAGTACACAGAAAACTGGAAATGGACATCAATAATACCCAGTTTGGATTCCGAAATGGACTCGGAACAAGAGAGGCGTTGTTTGCACTAAACGTTATGTCTCAAAGATGTCTTGACATAAATCAAGATGTATTCATGTGTTTCATAGATTACAACAAGGCCTTTGATAAAGTGCGAGATGATCACCTAATCAGACTCCCGACAGAAAAGAATTTAGATAAACGAGACATCTGGCTAATAGCAAATATGTACTACAATCAGAAAGCAGTAGTGAGAGTAGAGAATAATACCACTGAAGAAATTGAAATGAAGCGAGGTGTGAGACAAAGGTGTATACTGTCACCAACCCTGTTTAATCTCTATTCCGAAGACGTAATGAATAGAACACTCTCTGAGCAATCCGTAGGTATTAAAATAAATGGTGTTAGATTAAACAATCTGAGATTTGCCGACGACACCGTTCTGATCGCAGAAACACTTGAAGAGCTACATACATTGGTGAATAAGACTGCAGCGAAGAATATGAATAAGAATATCTTTGAACATAAAGAAAACTACATTTATGGTAATATTGAAATCAACACAAAATGTCCAAAATTTTTATTTACACAATGACATTATCGATCGAGTTAGCAAATACAAATATTTAGGCACTTTTATAAATGAAGACAACGATAGCTCAGCAGAAATCAAAATAAGAGTAGAAAAAGCCAGATCCATATTCACTAAAATGAAGAGTGTTCTGTGGAAGAGATTTGAGCCTTGAAATGAAACTTCGCCTGATCAGATGTTATGTACTTTCTGTGCTGTTCTACGGAATGGAGTCATGGATGTTGAAAAAGATTGATACCAAAAAATTAGAGGCATTTGAACTGTGGATGTATCGCAGAATCCTGAGAATAGCATGGACCGAGAGAGTCACAAATGTCGAGGTCTTGAAAGGTCCTTAGGAAGAAGACGAAACTCCTGGCTAAAGAATCTACGGGAATGGTATAGCTGTAGCAACAACGAATTGTTTCGGTCAGCAGTTTCGAAAATATGTATAGCCCTGATGATCGCCAACCTTCGGAACGAAGATGGCACTTCAAGAAGAAGAATTTTTTTAACCCTTTTTGATACTCTTTTTTATAGTTTGATGTAGATAATAAATGTTATAATGTTATTATGTAGATATAAAAGTATGTCTAATTTTTCACTGTACTTTATAGACTTTAAACAGGTGAATAAATAAAATAAAACTTGGGGTGCATTTGCACTGCTTTTGGTATTTAATAATTTTTTGACCTCGGGTTTATAAAGGTTCTCTGTAAGAAGTCTATAAATTGTCATCTGGTTTAGACATAAACAACATTTCAAAATATATTTGAATCTTACAAAACAATTATCATGTTAATTGAATTTCCATTCTATTATTCGAATTTATTAAAACTTTCCGTACAAGATTTTGAAAGTGTTTATCTTATTAACATCGTTTTTTGGTAACCTTTCAAAGATTAACCGTTTAACCTCATTTTATTGAGTGTCTTATCTTAGAAACTATTACATAATTGTCTCACAACGATCAAAAATAAATAATAAAAAAATGTTTATGTAAACACCATATCTACTTGTCAAGATGACAAACGATATATTTAATTTCAATGTGTATTATTAATACAGAATTACAAACATTGATTTATTTAATACAACTCTTTGATAACTGTTGAATTTGAAACATAATCTTATTTTTAAATTAAATTATGTTGTGTCAATTATAAATTAGTCCATTGAAAAGTTACATTGAGATTGTGATACAATTTTTGAGATGAAGCAATTTTATTTTTTGATGTGTGTGTGGGGGTGGGGGGGGGGGGGTGGGGTTAGTGCTTAAATTTAAGTTTGTGATGTCGCCACCATCGTCATCCGGAAGGTGCAAAAGGTTTTCGCGCTGTATATCTTAAATTAGCAACTCTACAGAAAATTTTATAAAGTATTATTTGTAGCAAATTAAATTTTCTACAACTTTATTTGTATTATATTTTTATTGAAAATTGAAAATAAACAAGGTATAAACAAAAATAACTAAAATTTTTTCAACAAATTTTCTTTTCGGCCTTATTAATTTTTTTTCTGGTCATCATCATCCAGCCGAATTTTAACATCCATTGTTGGATATAGGCCTCATCCAAACGTCTCCAAACGTTTTCTGGTCATATTAAAATAAAATTACATCAAAGCAATATTATAGAGAGTTTTTCATAGAGTAAATTTCACTACATGTTTAATTAATTTCATTAATTTCTCTGGATTTTACATAGATTATTAAATCTTATATAGTTTTTTTAGAGACCATAATTTGAATAATTCCTTTATCGCATTCCCCTTCATTTATTTTTCCAGTGGTAATTTCTCAGGAACCTTATTAATGGAGAACAGTACTCTGAAACATCCCCAGGGGAAGGCATTGTCATTAGGGGGGAAAAAATCTTAGTCAACATGGTGAATTATCGTGTAAATCAAGGATATGATTCACTTTCAAAAATAATACAAACAGTGGCAGTAGAAACCGGCATTTTCGAAAAAACAATTTACTCTGTAAGAAAAGAAAATTCCTCAGCACTTGAATTACAACCAGTAAAGAGACGATCCGAGAACAAGCGAACTTCATTACCGCTTGATAAAACTTACGATGAAGGAACAAAGAGCAGCATTCGTCGAATAGTGTATGATTTTTTTCGTAAAAATACACCCCAACATTACATTATTAGCAGTAGCAAATAAAGACGTACATCTACCTAATTTTTCTAGAACTACACTGCATAGACTAATTAAGGACATGGAATTTGTGTACACAAAACGGGACAAATAGTCAATGTTGATAGAAAAACGCGAACTTATTTCTTGGCGACATCGATATTTGCGAGAAATTCGTACATTTCGGAAATAAAACTACATCATTGTATATTTCGACGAATCATGGGTAAATATCGGTCACAGTATCAATTATGAATGGAAGGACCCTTCAGTATCGTTACATAGGGATGCATTTGTTCGTGGACTCACTCTTCTTCTTATGGTGCCCTATCCAATTAGTGGATGTTGGCGACAATTCTGGAATACTCCTCTCGATCTTGTG